CCCTGGAGAAGGACAACATGCTTGGTAAAGTAGAGGGTCAGTGAAAAAGAGGAAGAGTCTCAACAAGATGGACTGACACAACGGCTGCAACAATGGGCTCAAACATAGCAACGACTGCGAGGATGGCACAGGACCAGGCAGTGTTTCATTCTGTGGCGCGTGCAGTTGCTATGAGTTGGAACCAACCTGACAGCACCTAACACCAACAACAACTGGCTATCTATATGTCTGTCTGTCTGTCTCTCTGTCTGTCTATCTATCTATCCATTCACAAACATACAGAATTTCTCTCAATCTTAAGATTATGGATATATTGTTTTCTTTATACTTTTCTGTATTTTCAAAATGAACATGTACAATTTTATAGTCAAAAACGTGAATGAATGAATGTTTTTTTTGAAGCTTGCCCATACTCCTCAATAGCATACTTCTCTACATTAATGTGATTTGGATCTTCAAAAACTCCAAGCTAAAAGAAAGTTACTAAAATTAATCTCAGATCTTTTAAAAAAGAATACTTCATCAGACCAACCGATACAGATAAAGGTAAAGAGAATAAAAACTAAGCAGCAGTAGAAAAAAAGGCCTACATACTACAGGTCTACTGTCACTCAGTATTCCCCAGCAGGGCTGGTGTTAGAATTATAATAGCAGAAGCCTTTAGGGATACCTCATAAAGCTGTGTTCCAGTGACAAACAGCAAGAGTAATCAGTTCAGGTTTAGCAATGAACTCCAATAAAAGTTAATTAGGAAAATAGAGACTGTTTACAGGCATCTAAACGGCAAACCAATTAGAGGATAATGGGTACACTAACAGAAACAAGTACCAGGAAAGAAGCCTTCTGGTTGGACCAACACCCATTAGGGAGGGTATATAAGAGCTCCAAAGTGACAGGAGACATTTGTACTGCAGACACATCATCTTTCTTTCCAAGAAATCAAAAGCAAACCAGATTCCCAACGCCATGGCTTGCTGTGCTTCCCGCTGCTGCAGCGTCCCCACTGGCCCTGCCACCACCATCTGCTCTTCTGACAAATGTTGCCCATGTGGAGTCTGCCTGCCCAGCACCTGCCCGCACACAGTCTGGTTACTGGAGCCAACGTGCTGTGACAACTCCCCCCCACCCTGCCACGTCCCTCAGCCCTGCGTGCCCACCTGCTTCCTGCTCAACTCCAGCCTGCCAACCCCCGGCCTGGAGAACCTCAACCTCACCACCTTCACTCAGCCCTGCTATGAGCCCTGCCTCCCAAGAAGCTG